GACCTTGAAGACCAAGAACCGATGCCACGCCAGCAATGAAAATAAATGGGAGAGCGCTCTTTGGGAACATGAACCAAATAACTTCTGCTTTCTTTCTGGAAACACCTCTGGTTTTGGAGTATGTCCCTGAGTTAAGCATTTCCGATCAGTGTTCAGGCTACTGGCCAGCCGGCGGCCAGCAAGTGCAGCCCTAGTGCTGGCCTCCTGCCTGTTCCAGTCCCCCTCGGAACACTCGAGAGGGTTGTCTGGGTGTGGCCCAGCTCAATATCAGACACCATCAAAGTTGCGCCTGTGATGGCTTTGCTGAGCAGCCTGGGTGAGCCCATGAGCTGGAGTCCAGTACGGCCACCTCTGGGCTTAGGCAGGAGGCTGGGCACAGGGGTGCAGGCCAAGGAAGGCAAACTGAGGGAGAACGGACCGATGGAAAACGTCACCCAAGGAGATACTATTTCACGTTCTTGACTCGTTTCCTCCCCGGCTGGACTCTCCCCACAAGTGTCGAGTACACAGTTCCTGTACCTACTGAGACCAACTTTTGGCGGAAGCAAGGGCAGCAGGGACTCCCTACAATTCCTGGCGCTGTCAAAGTGATACATGAGACTGCAGTCAGAACTGCTGCTTTCCCAAGGCATCAGGGAATACACTGCATTTGGGGGAGAAGGAAGAACTGATGGTTGGACTCCACAGAAAAGTGTCGAGTGGCCGTTAGGGCCCAGGTTTTTGGAGCCAGGTGACCCGTTCTCATCCAGCTCCTCCACTGCCTCACCATCATACCCTGGTGATACTTAACTCCTCTGAGGCTCAGGCTCCTCGTCTGTAAACTGGGGATAACATAACCTCGTACAGCTGTTGTGAGCACCGATGGAGGTAATTAATGCAAAGCGTTAAGCACAGCACCTGTTACAGTATAAGCATCAAACACATGCTGATGGCAACCCTCACCATCACCCTCACCACCACCATTACCACCACCCTCACTACCCTCACCACCACCCTCACCACCACCCTCACCACCACCCTCACCACCCCCATTACCACCACCCTCACCACCCCCATTACCACCACCCTCACTACCCTCACCACCACCCTCACCACCATCCTCACCACCATCACCACCACCCTCACCACCACCCTCACCACCATCACCACCTCACCACCATCACCACCAGCTTCACCACCCTCACCACCACCCTCACCACCATCACCACCACCCTCACCACCCTCACCACCACCTTCACCACCCTCACCACCACCCTCACCACCACGCTCACCACCATCACCACCACCCTCATCACCATCACCACCACCCTCACCACCTCACCACCATCACCACCAGCTTCACTACCATCATTGGTGTTTGACTAGCCAGCACGTCAAGTCAAGAACAGAACCGCGTTTGCACTTGGGTAGGGGCAGGTGTGTCGAGTGTGCTGAATGATACAGGAAAGAGTATACACAATGCAGGGAAAAGTCTTAATAAATAGACTTAGGTTTAAAGCTCTCCTCGGGTTTACCACTTGTTGTGACTGACTCAAAAAACCAGAATGTTGCTGTTGGATGGAAACTTGGAATTCTTTGGTCTAATGTCTCACCTCTCCTTTACCAATGGAAAGCAGAGAGGATAAATGGCCATGCCTGTGGACAGACCTATGTGGAAGAAACACATCCATCCCTCTCACTTTAATCCATCAAATCACTGTTGTCACAAGAGTGGTGTGCTGGCTTTTATTATTTTTAGATTTTGCACTTCGTAAATAAATTTTAGCATGAAGACAGACTTTCTATTTTTTAATTATGGATGATTGTGAGGTATTGACGAATCACTCAAACAAACAACAACTGCGGGAGACACGCACCCTCACTGACGGCAGGGGTGTGCTATGTTCATCCTGAACCGCAGCATGTGGCACACAGCAGGTGTTCTATAAACATTTCTGCGTGAACAGTGAACTAGCCCAGAGAAAGTTGTCCTGAGGGGAGACTTGTGGGGCAGGGACAGACCTCTCCATGCTTCACAAGCCTGGGTCCTGGCATCCAGCTGAAACCAGCTTTAGTTAAACAGGGAAGCAGCTCGGGAAGGTCAAGAATGCCCCAAAGGGAGCCACGTGGCCCTAATGTGACAGGAAGTGACCGAGGAAGGTCAAGGCCTGTCTTGCTTATTTTCAGGGCTGACGGTGGAGGGAATTTCAGGTGACTGCAGGTACGCTCATGCTCTAGGTCTTTCGCTTTCTCTCTTTTAGCATCAACTAGTCATGTCACATGGGGTTACCTCTTTCTTTGGGGAAGGGCCAAGTTTTAAGTCAGCACATAAAGAGCACATAGAAATTACATGTTGAAATTAACCAGGAAAATCCTTTCGGCTGGAGACCAACACCTCATCTCTTCCAGCATCAACTGCTCATTTTTCTTTTGTTTCATCAATTAAGCACCACGAGATGCATCGGCCTACATTCAGGTCATGTCATAAGAGAAACATCTACCTGTAAACGGCGAGTTATATGACCTGTGGTGATAGGTTCACACTGTGAGAAGCAGGTGGCACTTAAGAGACTCATTCAAGTCGTGCTCGCGCAGTGTTGGCACGTCCCTACATATTTACGTTCTCATCTCCCTGTAAAGCCAAGTCAGCCCAAGACGAACGCGCTTGTGATGTGACTGCACTAGACCTCTGGTTTATCTCTCCTCCCCACTCTGAGCTGTCAGCTTTCACCACCTGCCACTTCAGATGAAACCACCTACGAGTCTGAGGAGGCACCAGGTCCAACACAGCACAGGGAGAGGGTACTTTAGACACTCTTCACAGTGGTTTTCTGATTCGGTTCAATCCACCAGCAAACACAGCAAGACACTCTGCTATGGACAGAGCAGGACATCGACACAGGGTGGAAGAGGAGAAAGCCTCTGAGGTCTTTCTCACTTCACTCAGGATGTATTACAACGATGAGGGCAGGCGAGTGATTAAGAGCATGGACCCCAGAGCCAGGCTACCTGGGTCAAATCACGTGATCTTGGGCAAGTTAGTTAACCTCTCTGTGCCTCAGTTTCCTAATCTGTAAATTGGGATAATAATAACCCCTACTTCACAGGGTTGTTATAAGGATTAAAGGATTTATTTGAAAAATGCTTAGGAACAGAGGCTGATTCATAAAGAGCATGACATAGTATTTAAGAAGCATGAGGACAAGTGGCCAGAGCACTAATGGTGGGAAGACCCCACTCTCTCATCTCTAATTGTTACGCTGTATTATGCATTTAACGAGCTTAATGGTAAAAATATGAAATAATTTAGGACCAGGAAAACTGACTTGCAAAACTATTTCAACTGACCTGACCCTTAAGAGACCCTAAGACTCAGCATTTTCTCTCTCTACATACATAAAAACTTCCCCCAATGTGATATGGAGGTAAAAAACATAATTAAAAAATCATCTGGGGGCCGGCCCAGTGGTGTAATGGTTAAGTTCATGCGCTCCACTTTGGAGGCCTGGGGTTCGCGGGTTCGGATCCTGGGCGGGGATCTACACACCGCTCATTAGCCACACTGTGGTGGTATCCCACATACAAAATAGAGGAAGCTTGGCACAGATGTTAGCTCAGGGACAATCTTCCTCACATACAAAAAAATCATCTGTGAACAGTTTATGAAATCATTGATTTAGCATTTCTCAATAACAAGTTACGTGTTTCATATTTCTGAAAATAATTATATTGCCACCGTGTTTTAAGATTCAAGGGAAAAATGCTAGCACCTAAAAAGTTGGTAATGTAATTTCCCCCATCAAGTGATCAAAGTACAAGAAAGCTAATAGTTTTTCTTTTTATCTTTTAAGTTGTGACATAGAAACGGAAGCTGATACAAGGCTCGAGCATGTGAGGGGCCCAGGATGCCTGCCCCACGCGTAAGTGAGGTCCGCTATGCACAGGAAGGAAGCCCACCTGCTTCCCTGCTGGGAAGCCTGAGCACACCGTCCTGGAACTCCCATCAAGGATAGCTGAACTGAAAGGAGGAATCTGACAAATACGACCTAATAAAAAAGTTCTAACATGCTGCTGCTCCTAACTGCTTGTTATGAAAGTTGTGGCAGCACTTCTACAGACATTACTTCATTTAGCCTGTACAGCAACACTGGAGGCAGGTGGGAAAGGGGGTTTTACTCCCATTCTGAAGATGAAGGATCAGAGAGGGTGTGGCTGTTCACAGCCTGGAAATGGAGACCTGCAATCCCACATTTCTCCCTAACATCACTTCGCGGGAAACGGAGACCCGCAATCTCACATTTCTCCCTAACGTCACTTCATGGGAAACGGAGACCCATAATCCCACATTTCTCCCCAACGTCACTTCGCGGGAAACGGAGACCCGTAATCCCACATTTCTCCCTAACATCACTTCATGGGATAATTTGATCTTCCGTTGATGCGACAGTTTGGTGTCTTCCATATAACTGTTACTTCACAACCAAGAATAAATCAGAAAGCACTTGTGAACCATCTGCCTTCTGGGTCAGTATTACGACGACAGTTGTCATGATACAGTATAATTTGCTTTGATTCTGGAATGTTTTAAGCCATTATCCCTTTAAACGTTGCCCCAGCGCCTCTGTCTGACACCAGCACAGTCCTTGTAGGACGTGTGAGTGGTCTGGCATGTTTAAGTGCTTCCACTGGCAGCCTGGGCTCATGTTCACACGTGTGATTTCTACATAAGAGAAAACTTTCCTGATTTTCATCTACCAATCATACTAAGGAAGAGGGATTTCAGGACTCAAGCTTTGCCAAAAACCATCCACCGCCCCAAAATTAATTTCTGTGAGAGCTATGACGACCATGGTCACAATGAATCCGGTCACCCTGCTTTCCTGGAGGAGGAAGCGGTGATGGTGGTGATGGTGGGATGGGCAGAGAGCAATGTGGTATGCTTCTTGTGAAGAAGGGAGACTAAGGGTGTATTCTCCATCAAGGGGAAGATGGCAGAGCAGGCCATTTGGAACGACTGTTACCTTGCTGCAGACGGCCTTCACCCTGTGCAGTCTGTCCAGCGACTCCTGGGGGTTCCCCAGGTACTGCTGAAGCTCTGCGTGTAGGATCCGCATTGAGAAGGGCACCATGGAGCCTAGAATCAAAGTCAAAGGTGAGTTAGTTTGTTTGCTATAACTAAGTGTACTTTCATACTTAGCATACTTGACAGAGGGATCTGCAGATGTCCCAGCAGAAGGGAAGACAGAATCCCTTTAAAAGGGATGCAGTGGTGCCAGCTATAAAACGTATGTTGGTTTTCTCTGTAACACTGTATGTAAGTAAGTATGTTCTACGCAACTATTAAAGGAGGCAGGTGGATGTCACTACTATTTCTGTAGCTATGCTTCCATCATGTAGAAACTATCACAAAATGAATGAAAAGGCAGTGACTCCCCCTTCCTCCAGTAAAAGAAAACACAGAACACTCAAGGGTTCTTCATATTTTAGTATGGCAAGCTCAAATTGAAGGTTGCTTAGACTGGGTTCGCCAGAGGGAAACCCTGAAAGGAGAATCTGTGAGTGAGTTAAGGGTGTGGCAGATGCAGAACCAAGGGAGGAAGTTGAGCGAGGGTGCGTCTCAGGCCCAGGTCCTGAGGACAGAGCTTCAGCCTGATTCAGAGACCTGTGTATGTGGGCTCTGGAGCGAAAGATCTACCTGAGAGCTGCCCCAACAGGAGGCAAGGGAGCTGGACTTGAAAATTCCACCACCCAGGGCTGCCCCACAGGGAATGATTCCCGGGCACTTCCAGCTCCATCAATCTGCCGAAGGGGAACGAAGGCAGTTCTCTGAGAAACGGGAACTTAAAAAAAAATTTATTGAGGTCATATTGGCTTATAACATTGTGTAAATTTCAGGTGTACATTATTATATATCAGTTTCTGTATAGAGACTACATCGTGTTCACCACCAATAGTCTAGTTTTTATCCGTCACCATACATATGAGCCCCTTTACCCCTTCTCACCCCCCCCAACCCCTTTCCCCTCTGCTAACCACTAATCTCTTCTCCTTATCTATGCGTTTCTTTATCTCCCATATATGAGTGAAATCATATGATGTTTGTCTTTCTCAGTCTGGCTGATTTCACTTAGCATAATACCCTCAAGGTCCATCCATGTTTTCGCAAATGGGACAATTTTGTCTTTTTTTTATGGCTGAGTAGTATTCCATTGTATATAAATACCACATCTTCTTTACCCATTCCTCTGTTGATGGGACTTGGGTTGCTTCCACATCTTGGCTATTATGAATAATGCTGCAATGAACATGGGGGTGCATAAATCTCTTTGAATTGTTGATTTCATGTTCTTTGGATAAATATTGAGTAGTAGAATAGCTAGATCATATGGGATTTCTATTTTTAACATTTTGAGAAATCTCCAAACTGTCTTCCATAGTGGCTGCACCAGTTTGCATTCCCACCAGCAGTGTATGAGGGTTCCCTTTTCTCCACATCCTCTCCAACACTAGTTAATTTCTTGTCGTTAATTATAGCCATTCTGATGGATATAAGGTGATATCTCACTGTAGTTTTGATTTGCATTTCCCTAATAATTAGTGATGTTGAACATCTTGTCAAGTGCCTGTTGGCCATCTGTAAATCTTCTTTGGAAAAATATTTGTTCATATCCTCTGCCCATTTTTTGATTGCGTTTTTTTTTTATTGAGTTGTATGGGTTCTTTATACATTTTGGAAATTAACCCCTTGTCGTATATATGATTTGCAAATATTTTCTCCCAGTTGGTGGGGTGTCTTTTCATTTTGTTGATGGTTTCCTTTGCCTCGCAGAAGCTTTTTAGTCTGATGAAGTCCCACTTGTTTATTTTTTCTTTTGTTTCTCTTGCCTGAGTAGATATGGTATTTGAAAAGATGTTTCTAAGACTGATGTCAAAGAGTGTATTGCCTATATTTCCTTCTAGGAGTTTTACGGTTTCAGGTCTTACATTCAAGTCTTTAATCCATTTTGAGTTAATTTTTGTGTATGGTGTAAGATAATGGTCTACTTTAATTCTTCTGCATGTGGCTGTCCACTTTTCTCAACACCATATATTGAAGAGACTTTCCTTTCTCCATTGTACGTTTTTGGCCCCTTTGTCGAAGATTAGCTCTCCATAATGTGTGGCTTTATTTCTGGGCTTTCAATTCTGTTCCATCTGTGTATCTGTTTTTCTGTCAGTACCATGCTGTTTTGGTTACTATAGCTTTGTAGTATATTTTGAAGTCAGGGATTGTGACACCTCCAGCTTTGTTCTTTTATCTGAGGATTGCTTTGGTTATTCCTGGTCTTTTGTTGTTCCATATAAATTTTAGGATTCTTTGTTCTATTTCCGTGAAGAATGTCATTGGGATTCTGATTGGGATAGCATTGAATCTATAGATTGATTTAGGTGATAGGGACATTTTAACTATGTTTATTCTTCCATTCCATGAGCATGGAACATCTTTCCATTTCTTTACATCTTCGATTTCTTTCAATAATGTCTTATAATTTTCAGTGCATAGGTCATTCACTTTCTTGGTTAAATTTATTTCTAGATATTTTACTCTTTTTGCTGTGACTGTAGATGGGATTGTATGCTTGACTTCTCTTTCTGCTAGTTCATTATTAGTACATAGAAATGCAACTGATTTTTGTATGTTGATTTTGTACTACGCAACTTTTCTGTAGTTGTTGATTATTTCTAATAGCTTTCTGGTGGATTCTTTAGGGTTTTCTATGTATAGAATCATGTCACCTGCAGAAAGCAAGTTTTACTTCTTCCTTTCCAATTTAGTTCCCTTTTATTTCTTTTTCTTGCCTAATTGCTCTGGCTAAAACTTCCAGTACTATGTTGAATAAGAGTGGCGATAGTGGGCACCCTTGTCTTGTTCCTGTTCTCAGAAAAATGGCTTTCAGTTTCTCACCATTAAGTATGATGCTGGCTGTGGGTTTGTCATATATGGTCTTCAATATGTTGAGGTACTTTATCCTTCTATACCCATTTTACTGAGTTTTTATCACAAATAGATGTTGGATCTTCTCAAATGCTTTCTCTGCATGTACTGAGAAGATCAAGTGATTTTTAGTTTTCATTTTGTCAATGTGGCGTATCACATTGACTGATTTGTGGATGTTGAACCATCCCTGCATCCCTGGAATACATCCCACTTGATTATGGTGTATGATACTTTTAATGTATTGCTGTATTCAATGTGCTAATATTTTGTTGAGGATTTCTGCATTTATGTTCATCAGCAATATTGGCCTGTAATTTTCCTTTTTTGTGTTGTCCTTATCTCGTTTTGGTATCAGGGTAATGTTGGCCTTGCACAATGAGTTAGGAAGCATCCCATCTTCTTCAATATCTTGGAATTGTTTGAGAGAGACAGGTATTAAATCTTCTTTGAATGTCTGGTAGAACTCACCAGAGAAGCCATTTCATCCTGGACTTTTGTTTTTTGGGAGGTTTTTGATTACTGTTTCAATTTCTTTACTTGTGATTGGCCTATTCAGATACTCTATTTCTTCTTGATTCAGTTTTGGGAGGTTGAATGATGATTCTAAGAACTTACCCATTTCTTCTAGGTTATCCAATTTGTTGACATATAGCTTTTCATGGTATTCTCTTATAATCTTTTGTATTTAATCCAGTGTATCCATTGTAATTTCTCTTCTTTCATTTCTAATTTTATTTATTTGAGTCTTTCTTTTTTGCTTAGTGTCTCTGGCTAAGAGTTTGTCAATTTTGTTTATCTTCTCAAAGAAGCAGCTCTTAGTTTCATTGATCCTATTTATTTTTTTTTATTTTGGCGAGGAAGATTAGCCCTAAGCTAACATCTGTTGCCAATCCTCCTCTTTTTGCTGAGGAAGATTGGCCCTGAGCTAACATCTGTGCCCATATTCCTCTATTTTGTATTTGGGATGCCTGCTACAGTATGGCTTGATAAGCGATGTGTAGGTCCACACCCGGGATCTGAACCTGCGCACCCTGGGCCGCCAAAGCAGAGCGCACAGACTTAACCACTATGCCACTGGGCTGGCCCCCTTTCTGTTGTTTCTTTTTAGTTTCTATTACGTTTATTTCCAGTCTGATTTTTATTATTTCTCTCCTTTTATTGACTTTGGGCTTTGTTTGTTTTTCTTTTTCTAGTTCTTTTGGGTATAGTTTAAGATTACTTATTTGAGATTTTTCTTGTTTGTTGAGGTAGGCCTGTATTGCTATAAATTTTCCTCTTACTACTGCTTTTGATGCATCGCACAAGAGTTGGTATATTGTGATTTCTTTTTTTTTTTTTTCGGTGAGGAAGACCAACCCTGAGCTAACATCGGAGGCCAATCCTCCTCTTTTTTGCTGAGGAAGACTGGCCCTGGGCTAACATCCATGCCCATCTTCCTCTACTTTATATGGGACACCGCAACAGCATGGCTTAACAAGCGGTGCGTCAGTGCATGCCCTGGATCTGAACCGGCGAACCCCGGGCCACCACAGCGGAGAGCGCACACTTAACTGCTTGCGCCACTGGGCCGGCCCCATGTATATTGTGTTTTCATTTTCATTTGTCTCCAGATATTTATTTCTCCTTTGATTTCTTCATTGATCCAATGGTTGTTCAGTAGCATGTTGTTTAGTCTCCACATATTTCTGACTTTCCCAGCTTTTTTCTTGCAGTTGATTTCTAGTTTCATAGCATTGGGGTCGGAAAAGATGCCTGATATGATTTCAATCTTCTTAAGTTTATTGAGGCTTGCCTTGTTTCCCAACATATGATCTATCTTTGAGAATGTTCCAGGTGCACTTGAGAAGACTGTGTATTCTGCTGTTTTTGGATGGAATGTTCTATATATATCTATTAAGTCCATCTGGTCCAGTGTTTCATTTAAGGCCACTGTTGTTTCCTTGTTGACTTTCTGTCTGGATAATCTATCCATTGATGTAAGTGGGGTATTGAGGTCTCCTACTATTATTGTGTTGCTGTCAATTTCTCCCTTTAAGTCTGTTAATAGTTGTTTTATATACTTTGGTGCTCCTGTGTTAGGCACATATATATTAATAAGTGTCATGTCTTTTTGGTGAAATTTCCCATTTGTCATTATATAATGCCCATCTTTGTCC